TATTCTGTATGGGATCTGTACGGGAACCTGTACGTCTTGTACGCCCCCTTACGGAAAAAAAAAAAAAAAAAAAGTTCATCAGAAAAATCCGAAAAAAAACTATGTGATGGAACAACACAAACCAAGCAACATTTGGCTGATGATCATCTTCAGATTCTTATTAGAATTTGAGAAACAAAATAAAAACAATACCGGATTTAAAATTTGAAAAAAAAAAATAAAAAAAATTGTACGGGGCCCCTAGCGTACGAGTAGTGTATGAGTACAAGAGTACGGGTCCGTACTCGTACGAGGGTGCATACAAGTGGCAACGTATAATATATAGATGTATTTTTTGGGGGGGGGGGAATATATTAGAAAAAACAGGCCGCGAACTGGGCCTCATCGGCCGCAGCCGCGACCGACTTTTTCGGCCCCAATGACTGAAATGCCCGCGTCCTAGGCCGTGTGTGTCACATAGCAGTAGGCAAAGCACTTGAGGGAAAATCCAAGCTGTGGGGTCCAAGCGTTATTCTCATTTTGCACTTCTCTCTCTCTGTGATGCACAACCTCACGCCCTATCCTGTCTTCCATATGGAGTTGTGTGTTGTGTGGAAAAGACCCTGGAAGACAGTGAATTGTGGTGTGCCAAGGATTTTTGGGAACTTGAGTGCGGGGACTCAGACGAAACTGAAATCCCTCACGTGCTTCCAGTTTTAACGAGATCCGGTCTTTGTCGCGTGGGAAAGAAATAAGCGCACACTACTTTCAAACACTCATTCAATCCAAGAAGTATCACTGCACCTTTGCGCGGGCTATCGACCGTCTCTTACAGTAAAAGGGCGAAGGAACGCACGTGGCATCCTGTTTTCGGATGAAATCGGGGCGTCGCTCGTTGCAAAGCTAAGAGTCCGATGTGGAGGGCCTCAACCTAGATGCTCGTTCCTTGTGTATGTCTTTGTTGCGTGTCTGATAGTGGAACCCCCTTTTCCGATAACGTTCAATGAGGCGACACTTGCTGCACAGGGTGTTAGGCCAATGGGGTGCCACTGTCGTCCACGGGATGACAATCAACTCGTTAAAAGGCAACAACAACGAATACGAGGGAAAGTGAGTGTAAACAATGACAAAACCAGCACTTACAAATCCGGAACACCTTGTTTCTAGCAGGAAGTAGTATCTTCCGCCCATCTTGGTGACAGCTTCCCGTACGATCTACTCCCATGCACGTGTCCTTTCCTCCTTATAGGGGAAGGGCGGAGATGGGGGTGCGAGAACGCTGAGAAGTCGGCACCCAATTGAATTAGAATATTCGGTCCATATGGAACGATTAACAACTAGATTGCGCCCACCTATCCATTAGTCATTCACGGAAAATACAAAGATATCACAACATGCATCGGTTTCCAATCACCATGCAGTCTCATCCAATCGAGAGAATAATCGGCTTACATTCGTGCGAGCATTAATCCCCATATACAAAAAGAAGTTCACATGCATCCTGGGGTGCTAAGTAGCACGAGAAAGAGAGGGGGTGACAAGATCTTCGAGCTTTGCGGCCTCCCAAATTCAACGATACCCGTCCTTGTGTTATCTGTTTGAACTTGACGGGGCGAGCAAGCCAAAAACTCAGAAACTCGTAAGAACTTTGTCCGAGCATTCTACGATTTATGATAGAAATGCCAAAAGGAAAAGGAAGAAAAAAGAAGAGAGGGAGAGAGAGAGAGATAAAAGAGTCTAAAGACGTTGAAGATATAGAAAGAGGGTGATAAGAAATGAAGAGTAGTAAGCACACAAAATAGAGTAGGGGACGAAAATCGGCAATCTGCCGTGAACTTAACTTCCCAAAAGAAAAAAGAAGAAGAATCGAAGATCACAGGTGCACAGGCCTTCTGCTCTCTGCCTATGACCCCACGCCATGCAACCTCGCAATCGCCAGCATGTTTCCATACCTTGGTATTGGCGATCCCGGCCGCCACATACCAACCACCACCCCACAGCGATCGTCACCCTGCCAACCCGGCTTCTACACCGACTTTCCCATATCCGCAGTTCGTCGCGACTTTTTGACCCGCCGTACATTCCCACCAGTGCCATCACCTAGCCACAACTACCCGGCAGTTGGTAGATGGTTTGAGAGAGAGTTTTTCGATACCACTTGCAGATTTTATAGTTGCGAGCAGGAGGGTGGCAGAGGGAGAAGCATGGGATAAGGATTGAGAGGAGTGGAGGAGGAGCTTGCCGGCGAAAAGCCATATCGATCGTGCAGGCCCTTCACGCAGCCAATCAGAACTTTGTGCAGCGAGAAGCTTTTCTTCCTTACATGACGTCCATGAGTGGCTTTGAGTACCTTGGGCGGGATCCGTAGGGAGTTTTGTCATCGGGACATAGGCGGGAAGGAGACGAGCACGAACAATAGCGTGCTGCTGTGGCGTGGATCCAAGATTCAGACAAGGAGTGAGGGTGAGGCGCGAGAGAGAGAGGGGATCCAAAACAGTTACAGGTGAAGGGGAGAAGGCGCCAAGAAGAGATGAGGGAAGATGGCGCGGGATGAGCGAAGGGGGCTGGTGGAAGCTTGCAGATGCCCCGCTAATGCTTTGAGACAGAAGGACCTCAAAACCGTTGCGTTCCTACCTCAAACTATTTCAAGAATACGAAATACAAATGTTATACAGGCGCGCGGATTTGAGCACACAAAAGTCCTACATCTATCGAGTTGTCTATTGAAAATTCACTGTTCTTTCAAGGGCGGGTACGGGAAATTCTCAATGCAAGAAATTCTCAATGCAAGAAGTGACACGTGAATGAAAAAGACGCCCGTAAATCCCAGAGTTCCCAACCGCCAAACAAAATTCATAGCGCTCTCTCTGAGGCGCGCGTAAGTCCTACGTACATGCATGATTCCAAAAGGGAAATAGGAAAGAAAAACGCAGTCTTGGGTTAGGAAGGGTCCGAATGGCCGACAACTTCATGCTTCGGGAATACAGCAAAAGGGAGAGAGAGAGCGGTGAGCCAGGGGGCGGCTGAATCAACAAAATTGGGGGCTATGCAGGATAGTTCGGGTACGGGACAGGCAAAAAAGCACATCTCTCTCTCTCTCTCTCTCTCTCTCTCTCTCTCTCTCTCTCTCTCTCTCTCTCTCTCTCTCTCTCTCTCTCTCTCTCTCTCTCTCTCTTCCCCCCCCCCCGTCGCGTTGGGATGGTGAACCAACTTTGCCTTTTCTTTTTTCTTTCTATGAAAAAGTGTTTGGAATGCTATGGTGTTTTTCCATTTTTTTGTTTATTTTGTTTCTTTTTGTAGAATGTTGTTCGTTTTTTCATTTTTCTCTTTTTCGTTTTTTTTGTAATTGGAAAAAAGAGACCTTGTAAACCTTGTATTACTACCGGTAGCGCCAGCCTCGACAAGGGTCGGCCTGGGTCGACCTAGCGGTAGTCACAGGTTCGGAATGAATAGCTGGGCCAAGTACTGGTGGTTTCATTTGGAGGATTTCGGACTTGCCAACATGAGCGGCCCAACTTTCATGGATCTGTTTCGTTCCCTACCGTGGAAATTACCAGCGTTGGATAGGCTGGTACTGACCGGCCCTACCTTCTTCCCCCAATTCAACGTACGGTAAGCTGTATTTGGGTTATTTTTCATTTTAAATAGAGCTGCAATTACCGTAAGTTGGTTGTATTCGGGGGAAGAAGGCAGGTAGGTTTGTTTTCTCTTTCCTGGCATCCAACCAACTATCGGGCGGGTCCGTTGACTGGAGGCTCTTTTAGACCGTCAAACGTCACATAGGCAGAAGACTCGGCGTGCGCCGTGCGGGCGAAGCTCTACATTTGCTGTGTCCCTACCTCTATCAGGCTCTATGCGTGTGTGTTGAGAAAGGGGGCCACGGGGGAGACAGAAGGAATGGGGGGGAGAGGGGGGAGAGGGGAGAGGTGCTGTCTCTTATACACATCTAGATGTGTATAAGAGACAGATCCAAAACAGTTACAGGTGAAGGGGAGAAGGCGCAAAGAAGAGATGAGGGAAGATGGCATGGGATGAGCGAAGGGGGCTGGTGGAAGCTTGCAGATGCCCCGCTAATGCTTTGACACAGAAGGACCTCAAAACAGTTGCGTTCCTACCTCAAACTATTTCAAGAATACGAAATACAAATGTTAT